TGCCAAAAGACCAGGTTGGGTTTAGAAGGGGTCATGGCACTAGGGATAGTGTAGCTGATGTTAGATGGATCTTAGCTGAAAGCAGGGAATACCAGAACAATGTCTATCTGTGTTTCATTGATTATGCAAAGGCTTTTGACTGTGTGGATCATAAGAAACTGTGGCTGACTCTGAGAATAATGGGAATCCCAGAACACTTGATCATTCTAATGTGAAACCTATACTTGGACCAAGAGGCAGTCGTCGGAACAGAGCAAGCAAACACTGCATGGTTCAAAATTGGGAAGGGCGTATGACAGGGATGTGTCCTATCTCCATACCTTTGCAATCTGTATGCAGAACAGATTATCTGGGAGGCTAGGCTGGGCTCTATGAGAAGAAGTGTGGCGTCAGGATTGGGGGAAGATCTATTAACAATCTGCGTTATGCAGATGACACAACCCTGCTTGCTGAAACTGAGGAGGACCTGAAATGCTTGCTGCAGAGGGTCAAGAACTGCAGCCTTCAGTATGCATTGAAGCTCAATGTCAGGAAGACAAAGATTCTCACCATTGGACCAATTTGCAGCATCAGGATGGATGGTGAAGAGATTGAGATTGTTAACAACTTTAGTCTACTTGGCTCCATGGTCAACACTCTTGGCACCAGTAGCCAGGAAATAAAAAAAACGTATTGTAATGGGAAAGTCTGCTGTTAGGGACCTCTCCAGGGTACTGAAGAGCAGTGGTGTCACTCTGGAGACTAAGGTGAGTCTGATACAGGCTATGGTCTTTGCAATCACTTGTCCAGTCATTGTTGGACAATAAGTAAGGGGGATAGAAGGAGAATTGATGCCTTTGAGCTGTGGTGCTGGAGAAGAGTATTGTATGTACCCTGGACTGCCAAGAAAACAAACAGATTCATCCTGAAGAGGGTTAAATCAGGCTGTTCCTTGGAAGCAAGGATTCTGAGGCTTCGTCTGACATACTTTGGACATGTTGTAAGGAAGAAGAGGTCCTTGGAGAGGGACATCATGCTTGCGTGGGTAGAGGGACGGCACAGAAGGGGAAGACCCTCTATGAGGTGGATTGATTCAGTGACTGGGGTAATTGGGATGAGTGTGTCAGACGCATTGAGATTGGCACAGGATAGAGCAGGGTTTAGGGCTGTTGTACATGGAGTCCCTATGAGTCACAAGCGACTCGACAGCACATAATAACAACAACAATAACAGGTGGTAATAAAATCCAGAGTGCATGTTTGTTTTCTGAATTCTACTCCTGTACACTTTTTCTTGGCAGATGAAATGATTACTAGAAAATAATGCGTGAAACGAAAGAGGTGATGGAGAACCTGAGCTGAAGTGAGCAAACACAATTGAATACTTAAATATATTTGGATATTTTTTCATTGACTAATTTTTTTAAGTCTTGTGACTGAGATTGGATTTCCCGCCCACCCCCACCCCCAGCTAGAAAAAAAACATCATTTGGCCAATAGGTAGCAGAAAGCAAATGGAATTGTACATATAAGCTGAACTATTTCTCTTTCCCATTAACTCCACTAATATTGTTAAACTGATATTCTAGAAAAGTAGAAATAATATGTATAGAGATAGACATAGATACAGATAGATTATAGCAATATTCAACTTTATTCACATTGAGTTTTGGTTTTTATGAAAAATAAGTCATACACTTTTCAAAGTAAGTGGAACCAGAAGAAAATTTCACACTACATTTATATATCCCTGAAAAGTGGGAGAGATACAAAAGTTCTCTCAAACATGGTGTTAACACAATCATTCTTGCAGATAAGAAATCCTAGGTAGTGCAAAAGTAATGGGCATCACGGCAAACTGAAAGGCTGAAGATTGGAGCCCACTCAAAGGCACCTTGGAAGAAGCCCTGTGATTTACTTCTGAGAAATCAGTTATTGAAAATCCTATGGAGTACAACTCTGTTCTGATGAACATGAGATGCTGTGAGTTGAAATTGACTTTTGGCAGTTGTGTGTTTTGATCCCCCCCCTCCCCCTTGCAGTTAAAGATCATCATCACTTATTTTCCTGGGAAATTTGGGGTTCTGATCAGATCAATACAAGAAAGATAGATAAGCACCAATAAAAATGGATACTGTCTGCATTTATTGGTTATGTAAATAGTAACAAGTATGTTTTGCATGCTTATTGAATGATTTATTCTGAAATAATTTTGAGAATAGAATAAACTGAAAATTATTAATACTTACATTAATAGTGCACTGAGTGTGACAGAATATGATTCTAATATATGAAAAACATAGAGAACATGGAATTTAAGGAGCTCTGCTAGCAAAGTCCAGAGAGAAAAGGCAGCACCTCTCTGATGGTTTGAATTCACCAGTAGCTCCTCAGGAGGGAGGTGGGAAATCTCCTTCCATGTATAGCCTTGAAAACTCACTGTAGGGTCAGCTATAAGTTGCCTCTGACTAAATGGCATGAGTATTTTTTTTTAGTTTGAGTCTTGGCATAGAAGGTAAGCACTCTGCTGCTTGCCAAAAGATTGGCAGTACAAACCACCAGCTACTCTGGTGGAGAAAGATGTGACAGTTCTCTATGGCAAAGATTACTGCGTTGTAAAGTCTATGGAGTAGTTCTACTTTGTCATTTAGGATTGTTTTGAATTGGAATGAACTTGATGGTAATGGATCTTGGTAATTCCCCTAGTGAAATCAAAAGTGGAAGTAGAGAATGCTTTCATAATTTTTCAATTTATGCAAATCAGCAATCCTTTAGTTCTTTGAGATGGATGCAACTCTTTTGAGCAAGTCTTTAAAAGCTTGAACCACTTGCTTGTTCCTGAGAGTGTAAATGAAGGGATTCATTACTGGAGCAACTGAGGTTGTAAGCACAGACACCACCTTATTAATAGCTACCCCTTCTTTTGCAGATGGTTTAACATAGATGAAGATGCAGCTTCCATATGTGATAGAAACGACAATTATATGGGAAGAACAAGTAGAAAAAGCCTTTTTCCGTTGCTGGGCAGAAGGGAATTTGAGAATAGTTTTGATAATGTATATGTAGGACATAATCACACACATCAAGGTGAAAAGGAGGGTCAACACGGCCAGAATTAATACAAAACGTTCTAGGAACTCTGTATCAGAGCAGGTGATCTTCAGGATGGGGGCAGCATCACAGCCAAAGTGATCTATGACATTGGAGTCACAAAACTCGAGGTCAAAGCCCATGCCAAATGGTGGGATGACAATGATTAGAGCAATCGCACAGCAGCCAATAAGGAATTTAATACAGACTCTGTTGTTCATGATGGTTGTGTAATGCAGGGGCTTGCAGATGGCTACATAACGGTCATAGGACATTGCTGTCAGGAGAAAAAACTCGGTTACACCCAGGACGACAACAAAAAATAGTTGAGTGGCACATGCATTATAAGTGACTGTATTGTCCCCAGATGCCATTGTGTAGAGGAATCTGGGAATACAGACAGTTGTAAATGAGACTTCTAAAATGGAGAAGTTCCGGAGGAAAAAATACATGGGTGTTTTAAGGTGAGAATCCACCAAAGTGAGAGTGATGATAGTCAGATTCCCAACAACACTCAGCATGTATGTTAGGAACAAAAAGATAAAAAGCAAAATCTGTAGAATTGGGTCATCAGTTAGTCCCACCAAGATGAATGTTGTTATTGCTGTATAATTTTTCATCACGGATTTCTTGCTATGACTTGGCCTGCATGTAAAAATAAAAGAGAAATTAGCTGTGCAGAAGGGACTAGCATTTAGCAGTGGGATGAGGTAAAAATCTAAGTAAGACAAAATTTTATTTAAAAAATTGTTAAGAAAACTATAAGACCTTTCTTTCTGTAAGAAATAAAAGACCTAAGTAAATGAAAAAAGATTCCCTGTCATGGGTAGGAAGACTCAATATAGTGAAAATGAAAATCCTACCAAAAACAACTTACATGTTTAATTCACTCCCAACACAGATACAAAATTCATTTTTTGAGGAGATGGAAAATTCAGTCCTCAAGTGTATGTGGAGAGGAAAGAGACCTCTCTGAAACACTTCTGAAAAACAAGAATAAAATGAGAGGCATAGCATTCTCTGCTCTCAAAACCTACTATATAATTGTAATAAGCAAAACGGCACGGTACTGGTACAATGACAGGCACATAGACCAATGGAACAGAATTGAGAACAAAGAAATTAATCCATCTATCTACAGTCAACTGATATTCTATAAGGAAAAGAAATCTATCAAATGGGAAACAACAATCTCTTCAACAAATGATGCTGGAGAAACTGGAGTGCTACCTGCAGAAAGCTGAAATAGAATCCAAGCATCTCATCACACAAAAATCAATTCAAGGAGGATGAGATACCTAAGCTTAAAGCCCCAAATCATAAACCTCATAAGAGACAAAGTGGGATCGAGCTTAGAAGACCTAGCCCATGGTATAAAGAGGCTGACAAATACAGCCAGAAATACATAACCAGGAGAGGACAAAATTGATAAATGGGACCTTGTAAAAATTAAATTCCTGTGTACGTCAAAGGCTTTTTTCAACAGAGTAAAAAGAAAACCTACTGATTGGGAAAAATCATTTGGCAATACCATCTCAGATAAGGGTCTCATATCAAAAGTTTACAGAATCCTCCAGGACCTCCAAAAGAAAAAGACTATTAACCCAGTTACAAAATGGGCAAAAGACTGGGAAAGACTTTTCACAGAGAAAGACATTCAGAATGCCAACAGACACATGAAGAAATTCTCAAAATCATTGACAATAAGAGAGATGCAAATCAAAACCGCAATACTATCTCACTCCAGTAGGAGTGGCAAAGTTTAATAGGACAGCAAGCAATATATGTTGGAGAGGATGTGGAGGAACTCTCCTACACTGTTAGTGGGATAGTAAAATGGTACAATCACTCTGGAAGGCAGCTTGATGTTTCCTCAACAAGCTGAACACAGAAACTCCATATATTCCACTACTAGGAATATTGTTGTTGCTGTTGTTTGATGACGTTGAGTCGTAGATGACTCAGTGATACTATGAACGAACAGCCTGAGCACTGTTCGTACATAGAGTTTCCGAAGGCAAGCCATTTCGGAAGTGGATGCCGCTCCTGCTTCCAGACTAGGAATATACTTGAAGGAAATTAGAATTGAGACACAAATGGAAATCTGTCCACCCACGTTCACAGTAGTGTTACTCACTATTGCAAGAACATAGAAACAGCTCAAATGCCCAACCACAATTGAATGAATTGAGAAATTGTGGTACATTCACATGATGGAATACTATGTAACACTCAGAAGCAATTATTTAGAAAATTACAACATAACTTGGGAGGGACTGAAGAGCATTATTCTGAGCTAACTGACTCAGTCTCATTAAGGACAAATACTACGTAAGTCCTTTATTGTAGAAATAGATAACTAGAAAACCATCTATGAGGATACAAGTGGGGGAGGTTGGGAGCAAAGGGTGAGGATGGGCGGGGGGGATATCACAAGATCTCACAGTTTGGTGGGTGGAGGGAAGGGAGCAAAGGAAATGAGAAAGATCTGCTGGGGATGTGAAAAGATAAGAGTAATGGTGGGCATAATTCAATGGTTATTAATTTTATAAAAATGAATGGGAATTATTGTATGAAAGAAACACAATGTGATTGAAGGATAGTGTGAAACACAATGTATTTGAACTTTATAAGCAAACCACTGTAAAATAAAAATGAAAAATAAACACACATACACAAAGTAATATGTCTCTCTCTGCTGACATTTTGGAACTGACTTGTAACTGACCCTTCAGTTTTCAAAGTGATAAGTTAATGGGAGGATATGATCCATCTTGCTCTCTTAGAGCTGTTGGAAGCGTTGAAACCCCAGGGAGGTGTGGCTTTTGGGTTAAGAACACATAGATCCCTGTTGACTATGCCCCGAGCTATGCAGTGTTGCATATGTAATATCAATTGTACCTTAATAAACTAGATCTTGACAATTTTAAATCACTTCAGTCATATTCTTTTTGAAGACAAAAATTATATTTGAGTTAAAATGTGGCAGAAGAATAGAGTTAATGACTTGATTACTTTGACTGTTTCTCCTTCACACTTCCTGTAAACATTTTTTTAAGCTAAACAAAACAAATGAAAAATCCTAGCAACAAAATAACAACTAAATTTGTTGTCTCCAACTCAATCTATATTCAGCTGAACAAAATCCTGCCCAATCTTGTACCATTCTTATAATCTCTTCTCTATTTAAGTTTATTGTTGTGGTCACTTTGTAATGGATTTTTTGCAACTATTCCCTCTCAACTTGAGTTATGTCACATCAATGAATACAGATTCTTCATTTGAGATGTATCTATTTATCTACCTACCTATCTATATCTATCTGTTAATCAAGAGTGCTATTGGATTGGTAAATAATTGAAAGTTAATAGTTTATATTACTAAACTAGCATTCCTGAGCATTATATTGGAAAACAAGCAGAATATTATAATGCCAATTCAGTATTAATCTGTCCTTAGAATAAAAATTCCATGTTGTTGTTGTTAAGTGCTGTCGAGTCACAGGTGACTCATAGGGACCCTATGAATGAAAGTCCTGGACACCTCCTGCATAACTTTCGTCCTTTCTCCAGGTTCATAGGGTTTCCAGAGGCAAGCTATAATGGAAGTGGATGCCACTCCTGCTTCCAAGCTTGTTTAAATTCCATGTAAATGAAATTATTTTACACAGATAATCCCATCATCTGTGAATTAAGATGACTTTATTTCTTTCCTCCCAATTTGTTGTTGTTGTTGGTGTGACCCCGTTGACTATGACTCATAGAAATGCTGTGTATCACAGATCTGATCCTTGCCTTACACAAAGCCATCCTCATGAACTCCATCATACTCAAGCCCATTGATGTCAATCCATTTTGTTTAGGGTCTACTTTTTTTTGCCGAGCCACCATCATTTCCAGCATGACGCTGTTATATATTACTTTTTCAGGCACTGATCCCTCCTAACAACATGTGTTAAGTATGTGAGATCACGTTTCACCATCCTTGCCTCTAAGGAGTAATGCTTGTACTTCTCACAAGACAAATTTGCTTGTTGTTTTGGTGGTCTATGGGCTATTCAATATTCTTTGTCAACAATAACAAAACCCCACTTTATTATCTGTTTACTCTTCATTTCCTTTTCTTATTTAATTATATTCCCTGTTTGTGAAGCTGTTTTATGTTAGTTGTATCACTGGACAGAAAATCATGGTTTGAAAATACACTTGACTTGAAATTTCATAATTGCTTGATTTCCATGTGAGGAACTGGCTCTAATAATCCTGTAAAATTAAATTTTTCCTCTTCTCAACCTTACTTCCTTCAATCTTCTGTTCAATAGAAAGGCTTACTTATAATTTTTATATCTGAGATCTCATTCTCAATTGCCATTCTCGTTCTCAATTGTCTGCTAGTCTAAGTGCTAGTCCAGATGTTCTCTATTGTACATAGGGTTTTTGAAGGCCTGTTATTTCAGAAGTGGATGGCCAATCCTTCTTCTTAGTCTGTCTTAATTTGTGTGTGTGTGTGTGTGTGTGTGTTTTAATAATAGTATCTGACAGATAAACATTTTACAGAAAAGAGCAGATGAAAAGAACCATTAGAAAAATGACCAAAAGATTCCATTTGCTACCCACCCCTGCCTTGTATTTTGACCCACCCTCTCGACCAGCCCTTGATATGGTGGCTTAAGGCTTAAGACATCAGGATTTCTGTGATTCTGAACACCTTATGCCACTGACAGTCTCTTATGATGTGGCTAGTATCTCTTCAATGTAAAAGAACAGATCGATATTTGTTCCCATTCCGAAGAAAGATGACCCGATAGAGTGTGGGAATTATTAAACAATATTATTAATATCATATGAAGGCAAGATTCTGCTGAAGATTATTAAAAAAAGACTGGAGCAACAAGTCAACAGAGAACTGCCAGACGTGCAGGCTCGGTTTAGAAGAGGTTGTAGTACAAGAGATATTATAATTAATGTTAGATGGATCTTGGAAGAAAGCAGAGAGTACCAGAGGAATGTCTATCTGTTCTTCGTTGACTGTGCAAAAGCTTTTGCCTGTATGTATCACAACAAGCTGTGGTTGACTCTGAGGAGAATGGGAATCCCAGAACATTTGATTGTTCTTATGCGGAACCTATCCTTGGACCAAGAGGCAGTCGTCAGAAAAGAGCAAGGAGACACAGCATGGTTCAAAATTGGGAAGGGCATCTGCCAGGGATGTATTCTGTTTTCATACCTCTTCAACCTGTATGCAGAACAGATCATCTGAGATTCTGGGTTGTATGAGAAGGAATGTGGCATCAGGATTGGTGAAAGATTCATCAACAATCTGTGTTATGCAGATGACACAACTCTGCTTGCTGAAACTGAAATACTTGCTGCAGAAGGTCAAGGACTGCAGCCTTCAACATGGATTGAAGCTCAACATCAAGAAAACAAAGATTCTCACCACTGAGTCAATTGGCAGCATCAATATGGACTGTGAAGAGATTGAGATTGTTAACAGTTTTAGTTTGCTTGGCTCCACAGTCAACACTCTTGGTACCAGCAGCCAGGAAATCAAGAGGCGTATTTAATTGGGAAAGTCAGCTGTCAGGGACCTCTCCAGAGTATTGAAGAGCCATGAAATC